TATATATATATATATATATATATATATATAAATCTAAAGTGCACTTGTAACTGCAGTTTCCACGCATGTAAAGAAAACGACCACGGTTTTTTAATGGAAAACGAAGGCCATAATGAGCTATTTGGCACCCGTGTAAGGGAAGGCGAGATGACGTATAATGAATCTTCTTTGGTCCGCGAACCAGATGACACCTCTGGTCGCTCGCACTTCTCCGCAGTTGCTCTTTGCACCTTTCATATCCTATCTGATTTCCTAATAAAAGTTGAAGTCAAATTGCCATTTAAAAGGAATAGTAAAAGTATAATGGTATGTCTGAGGAAGGTAAATTTTTAATAACTTTTCAGGGATAGAGGAAAGGAAATATTGCATAGTAGATTATTAATCGATAGTGGAATACAGTAAAATTCCTTTTAGTATAAAATTGAACTAACCGAATGATATGCTTGCAGTTTATGAGCCATCTGGGGAAAATTTTACAAACGGCAATTGCTGTGCACTCTTGCCGCTCGATGTATGCGAGAAAACTAATGAATCAAATACATACTGGTATGTTTAAATACATTTTCGTTTTAGGTTCTGCACGGACCAATCCTAGTGATCGTTTATGACACTGAAGGAGTCAGCATTGACATGTTGGCTCAAATGGACACCTTGGAGTCGATTGTTCTAGCCGACATATCCTCGGGTGTTGATAGGCATGACGCTGGAGCATTCTTGCTTGGCTCTCTTGGTAAGTTCTCCAGGGGCTCTCACAATTTTCCTCAGTGTTTTTCATTAGTTTAAATAAGAACCGAAGTAGGGTTTGAAGATTCAACGAAGACTTGTGAAAACGTTTGGCTTCATCAAAGGAGGCGCGGTCTTTCGAGCTGCTATCCTCAAAAGCAAAGAGACTTTCGCACATTCTGAAGAACCCCTAGAGCATATGTTGTGATCCAATGTCTGATTAGACCCATCTTCTTGGTATCAGTTTGTAGAAGAAATAAAAATAATCCACAACGTTGGAAGGAACTATTCAAATACCTTCTCGTTTTCATGTCCACAACGTTGCTAATTCAATTACTGAGTGAGAGTTGCTCTGAACTTAGTGGATACTCTGAAATTAAACAACTTTATAAGACAAGAAAATAAGTGCGGTGTGTTCAGACGAAAATACTGACCTTCTTCAATGCGTGCTCAAACATCTAACGGCTAAATCACGGTGGCGGCTTTCGCTGACCGTAATACTTAACTGCTGGGTCATCTTAGCTTCCAAAGTGGGAATTTTTACCCGATTTATGATTTTATTTGAGTTTTGAAACCTAAGCATTCCCCAGGTAAATTCAATAGGCGAAAAGTTCATATGGCCAGAAGCACACCTCTCAGCGAACCATGCTCGTGTGGCTCAGCCGATAACAAGATATATATGATTTAAGCGGTTTCTTTGATTCTTGTCCATCTGAACATTGATCAGTGATATAGCTTTAACATGCACTTCCAGCCTATACGCCAGACGCTGTGAGGGAAAACGGCGATAACAGGAACGCGCTCAGCGTACTTTTGGTCTTATCTATCCTATGTGCAAAGTATTTAAGACGCTTAACGTTTCCGTCGCCTACTCCGTAGGGAATATTTTCGTCTACCTATTATTTGTAGAGTTTATAGCTGCACTCAATTGCAGCCCAATGAAATAGGACAAACAACTGTCGTTTATTTCGTAATGCATCAAATCAATCAACTTCCGGTGAGGGTTTTCTCCTTGATAATATGCAGTCTGTCAGCTGTCGATGACCTAAACTGCTTCAATAACTCTTCAGGTGTTCCTATCACCGTGGTATCACCCAAGGCCGATATAGATGCAACCGCAGACGCGCTTTTTACTTACATTGCGCTCCTCAATCAACCAGTAGTCGCGCCCCGATACAAAACAATGCCAGAGTCTGAAGCAACTCGCGACTCTCAAGCTGTCTATCTTTGGAGAAACTGCCCTACTGAGGCTTCAACTGGACCTTCCTTCACTGGCCCGGTTACGTATTCATCCAGACTGCCACAGACAGGCGTGAGGAAGCAGCCCCTGTGGGAGACAGCAGAAAAACGTCAAAGTCTCGGTGAGAGAACTCTTGGTCTCGTGGGCTTAGGTGAGGACCTATAATGTATGAGCGTCTACAGGCGATTTACTTGCTCACTTTGAAGCGTGCCCATTCTATTTCAACTTGAAACTTTCAGCATGTTTAGACGATCAGAGGACGCAAAAATTAATAGCTTATTGTTCCATAAGATTTTGGTTCAGTAATAAGAAAAGAAATGTCAATATACAATTCAGAACAAGCAGAAGAGCGTTGTACTTCTGCAGGAGTCGTAAGTTCGTCCCACACGCTCCAAAGTTCACGCAACGTATGTGCAGTAGGCGGCATAACCTATGAAATGGGTCCAACTTTATGGAAAATTTCCAATCACTTAAGAACCAGCCCACATATATCAACTGAATTCCTAATTGTTGATAAACGATTTTAAGTGACTTTACCACATAAAATAAATGTCAAAAGTAATATCACGTTGTTCAGAAATGGCCATTTTATTAGAAAAATAGAACTATCGAAAACACGAAAATTCGAATCAAGTGAGTGGACTAATATTCTAAGTGCACCTAGTCTGTCCAGATAAATAGTATAGTAAATAAAATAGTTAATAGTAAACCAACAGACCCTTTAATGCAATATTTTTCCCTCTGTTCCTCCTTCGGTTAAAGGAAATTGTGTGGATTTAAATATATTTTGAATTTTTTTAACTGTGCAACTGCGCAAAATAAACCTCCCAGTCAGGAAAATAACGATCTTCTGCCTGTAGACCGACTTAAGTAAAGGCCCACCACTATGTACCATTTAAACTAACAGAAGTAAGCGTCTCGTTTATCGATAAACTGACCTTAACATGATGGAGTGGTGCTCACCAATCAGGTTGCAAGACAGGCTCCTCCCCTCGCAAGCCATTTCACACCGACGAACGATATATCACTAGAATGGGTGACGGACCAAAACAAAGGGGAACCAGGATGGTCATTTCTGGCTTATTAGCTGTCTTTAGCCCGGCATATCCCAATCCGGACTTGCGAAAGTCGAGTTTCGGACC